TCAGAGAATGTCATTGCCATTTTAAATGAACCCTTACTGCCGTATATCTAAAATAAAGCATATGTAAATAAAAGTTCCCTGGTATGTTAATTGCTGAATGTTATTCATAAATATATATGGAAATGTTTTAAGATGAGCTGACCATTGGAATTAACAATTAAAAGGTCCATTGCTCAGATCCTCTCTAGTGACTTGCTGGAACTAACTGGTTCGAAAACATAACTTGGCAAGACATGATTATGGTAAGGGAAAGTATAGGGCACTAAAGATAAAAGATAAAAGATTCCCTACATAAAGCATTAAAAAAGCTCCACAACTGTCAAACAAGTCAGTCAGATTTTTCACATTCACAATTTATACGTTTGAAAGAATTGGTAATTTGTTAATGACTTTTGCTCTCATTGCTTATTAAATGCAGAGTAACGAGAGAAATGTTTAAGGATCAACAGTGCTTGCCAACAAGAAAATTATCACACAAAACTTTAAAGGGAAACAGCCCATTTTCAAAAAATGCTGTTAACAGTGTTTTCTTTGTGCTGTAGCAAGAATGTGCAGTTCTGTAAAAATGTGAAGAAAAGATATGAGTATCTCCCATATTATGGAGGACCAGGTAAAATATAAAAAAAAATTAAAAAGTAGCAAATGCATGCTACAAATCGATACGCCCAAAAAGACATCAGTGAATGCAATACATAATCAATTCACATTCCAATTCTAGCAGTCAGTGTGTTATAAACACCAGTAAGAGTCAGTATGACAAAAGAGGGGGGAATACAGGAGAAAAACCCCGTACAATTCATATTTTAAAAGAGGTTTTGAAAAATGGCATATTTAATATATTAAGTTTTATGTGAAGATCTTTAGGGCAGTGACTCAAGCGTCATTTTCCATAAGTAATAAACAGAATAAGAGAACCTCAACAGGATTTAAAATCAGAAGCAAAGTTATGAAACAAGCGGACAATGACCCCATGAAATTCAACTATTTGTCAGGTATTTCACATCTGTATGAAACATTTAAATATCCAGTGGAGCAAGATTTAAGGGTTATAAAATTTTATTTAAAATATATGATTAAATAGTAGAGGACATTCCATATAAAACAGAAGTGTCAGGTTGGGGAGTGTTGAAACCTATATCCACTGAAGAAATCTACTAGACCACTAGTGTCTACCTGAACCAACTCTCCCTACTAAAAGTTATAAATAAACAGGCTCCTGCCAATGGCATTTTTTCTTTAATCTCTGCACTTGGTAGCACTTTATTTTTGTTACCACTATGGTTATTGATTTTTAGGTGTTTATTTATAACTTTAGTAGGGAGAGTTGGTTCAGGTAGACACTAGTGGTTAGACCACGGTGTCGAGGTAACTTTTAGGGTGAATTGAGAGATTTATTTAATTTATTTATTTTTTGTGTGAGGCTTTACATCTGCATTTAGACCTGATTACCCGGTTCCTTGTTCTCTGGGGACCCTGTGCCTCTCTCCCTAACCTCGTTTACACTACCTTCCTGTCAGTCAGACACTAGGGGAACTGGAACTTAGATGCTAGCTAGTACTCCAGACAATTGATCCCCTGGGCACTGTTTAGTAGATCTTTTTCAAGTTATACTTTGTTTGCATATCGTTAGATTGATTAAAAGGTAGGGCCTCCATTCCTCATTTCTTATACAGTGGAGCTCTCCTGATGTTGGTTTCCCTTTGTGGGACTCTACACATCAACTACTCCTATTACCTACATATTTTGGATGGTTACCCCCTCATTGGAGCTCCCTATTAGGTGGTTACAGTGGTGCAGCTCATGAGCCCTTGACTTGTATCCGGACTCCTGACCTGCACTGTTTACTTTATGTCTCCATTTTATATTATGTATATATTTTGCAGAACACAGGAGCATTTTCCCACCATTTAGTTGACAGGTCAAGTGAGAAAAAAAAAAAAATCCAGAGTGAACAGGAGAAGCAGTAAAAATATTCAAGCAACCGATCAACCTAAATACTGAAAATCGCCAAGTCTGCTATAGGCCATTATGCTTTGCATATAAATACTGCGAAGTTTCAGCTTTAAAAAAAAAAAAAAAAAAAAAAATTTAAAAGCATCTGCTACATATTAAAACCTTTACTGTCACTTTCAATAATTGTTATAGATGGTTGTAGAAATATGTAATATTGCAGATGTCTAGTTAACATTGAGACAGATATATTGTCTAGATCTTTCCTCTAAACACAGCATGGTGTTGTGGACCAATGAAGCAGCTGTGCATAAAGATGACCAAGAAATGCATCTGTTACAACTTTAAATTTTAATTTCCACAAAAGGTTTGTTTGCCTTCATTTAACGCACATGCTTACAGCAATGCAGTGTTATAATCACCCTCTGGCTAGGACTGAGTTTTGTTGCCAATGAACAAAAAACATGCATTCATGTTACTGGACACCATGATATTTCTCAAGAATGTGAACACTCCATTTCACACAGTACCAATATGGGTTCCGGGTGACAAAATTAACTATACACTCACCTTACCCAGATAAGGCATTAGCTGTACTTTTAGGGGCAAAAGAGTGTCTCATATCAAATATGCATCTACACTGCAGAGATTATATTAATAGACAAGACAGTTGAAAATGTTACTTCAGTAACACAGAGCAGCAAACACGTACACACTAAAAACAGTATTGTAGAGAATTAGTGAAGGGATAACAACATTTTTGTCCAAAATGGCCAAGATAAAACCTACCAATGTTAGAATGGTTACCCATTTGTTTAATTATTAAATCTAAAAAAAAAACAAAAAACCCAACAACTTTTAAAACACAAGTGTTATGGATAGGTGTATAGTGATAAAAAAAAAGTCTAACTGTAAAACTGAACTCCAGTCTTCAGAATTTCTTTAGAAGTCATGTGATACGTTCATAACAATCATGTGGTTCATGTGCATCATGTTTGGAATGTAGACTAAAGTCCACAACTGACTTGACATTCTTATTTGTAAACTTGTACTTTGGTCATGGTTTCACTTTAATAATGTGTTGTGGTATATGCACAGATTATGGAATTTGTAATCCTTTGTAAATTAAAATAAATGTTTTAGCTTAAGTTTAGTGTGCAAGATGCCTTACAAACAGAAGAGTCCCAAGACCCCCAGTTTTATGGCATGAGAAAGAATGAGTACAGCCTTCTACTGAGTGATAACTTAATGAAGCTGTAACTGGCAAAACACTTTGGTATGACCATATAAATGAGGAACAAGTGGTCTGAGTTCATTTAGGGTAATAACCATGCAATGCATTTCCTTCACAAGACTAATGCACAAGTTACTTAAGCAGCTGAAAAAAAAAAACTATAAAATTCAGAGTCAAACTACACATTTGAGGGGAAAAAATCCCCCGCACAAACACTGGAGTTGACCATTTTAAGGAAAGGGTATTTCATTTCAAGTTGTTGAACATTGGGTTTTTCAGCTTCTGTAGTAAACACGAAACCAAAGTGTTACAGCAAGTCGAGAGGTGCCCATATATTTTCTCTTCAGGTATGGGAATCATAGCTAAGAGCCTCTATAGCAGACTTCTATGAAAGGCTAAGGGAATTTTACTTAAAATCTTACCAACTGTAAAAAGCAAAAATGTTTTACTAAGATTACTGGTTGTAATAAAAGTTAGCAATGCTGCAAGTTTGAGGGAATGTACATTAGAGACTGGATACATAAAATGCCAAATAAAATTAAAAAAAAAATATATATAAAAATTATACCCAGACTGAAGGTTTAGATTTGTGTTAGTGATGCATGTACACACTGCTATACAAAAGGATCTAAAACAAAGTAAACTGAGGGAGGTGATAAGCATGTTCAGACAAATCTTCAAAGCATTTTCCAATGGTCTATTCACGATTCGGAACATTACATCAGTTGTTGTGCACAACCAAAATATGTATCACAGTACACAGATCTAGTTGTGGTACTAGATCTTACAGAATTAAACAACGTCACCTTTAAACTGCCCATTCATGAGGCAAAGGTTTTACAGTTACTCAACATTTTATAAACAGGTCCATATGACTGCAAAGATATTTGAAGACAAGATACTTCAAGGAAAAACTTTTGAGTTAATCCTTAGGAGGCAACCTAGTTTACAGGTTACCGTTAATGTGCTACAGTACGATAGAGATCAGCTAGGTTTGTGTTGCTGAAACGTAAAGCAGAGACAACCAAACTTAAACGAGGATCTTGGTCATAAGGCTAGACATTCTACAGAGAAACTGAGTATTTGACAATGGAATGCACACTTTTCAAACTCAAGTGGCTTGAGAAAGTTAAAATCTGAAATACTATATGTGCATCCGTTAAGGGCGTATTGCAAACAGTGTCCATTTTTTGTTAAAGATGATAATCATTATTCCCATATGTGCCTATGTGGATCCAAGAGGGAATTTTGAATATTGCAGTGTAACATACAATGCCAAATTGTTTGACATAACAAGTCGGGATTAAAAATAAAGCATGTGTAATATATCACATTTTACACCACAATTAGACCTGGGAGCATGGTTTACATTTAAGGCCAAAAATAGCACAACTGGAAATTCATTTTTAATTCTCAAGAAATCTTACTTGAGTAAATGATCCTGAATGTATTAAAGGGTACAATTGCTAAACCAAATAACTTTATGGATAAATCATCCAAAAGGTACACAAGCATAACACTTCTGGGTTTGCCTAGGGGGTTTATGGACACGATTGTCATTTCACATTTGGCCCTTAAAAGGGTTAAAGATATTTCTAGGGGAGCACAGCAACACTTACAGCTTGTTAGATAATACAGTTTCATAAACTAAAAATCTTTGTTTTATAAAAGTGCTATGGCAACAAGATTAAAGACCATTTTGGTTTTTAATCTGCAAAATATTCATTTAAACAATAAACAGATATCCAATCTTTATAGGCACACACAACATGCGGAAGTTCATTAAGCTAGAACCAATAAATAAGAAATTTTAGACCAAACTAGAATAGTGCACATTGCAGCTCTTTATTGACATTGGCAAATTAAAATATAATAAATTAACAAGTATTTTCTCAAAAAAAAGGGTTTTGTACAAAAATACTGTCAAATTTCCTAAAAAGCTTTCAACACAGTAGTATTTCTCATGAACTAAAGTAACTATTAGCACAGTGTCAAACATTTTGAAAACCAAAAAAAAAAAAAAATTAATGTTTTCCACTGATTCAATTCCACCCACACTTGTCTGTACATAAAGGGTGAAACCAATATTAAAAAAATACAAGTTAAATAAACAGTAGGACATCCTAATCCAGCAAGGTTTGGCCCATAATTGTTAAACTTCCAGTTTAGCATACATAGAATGTGGGAGGCAGGGTGGGAAGGAAAAAAGCCAATGCATAGATTAAATGAAGCAATATGGCAGCATCGAAGGTTCATGCAACCAAAAACCATCGCTCTTCATTTTGATATAGTCAAGCATAAGAGTAAAAAGAGAAAATAAATAAGAAAAGTGAAAATTGACTTCAAGACAGATTAAAACTGGGGGTCTAGGATTATTTGCTATAAAAAGGTAGAGGAACATGAGCTCATATGCCCTACATCAGGAAGAAAGTGGCTCAATTAACCGACTTTGCAGGGAACAAGCTGAGTAAAATGCAGGAATCATGGGAAAAATAAAAATTCTGTACAGATTAATAGTGGACTCTGGAAGAAAGATTTGTTGTCCATAGAGGAATGTTCAAGGTCTTTGTTTTATTCCCCAAATGGCAATTCTAACAGCTTACTCTGTTTGGTTGTTGTTTGCAAACAAAGTCTGTCATAAAATCAAATTCATTCTGTCCTAGCCAAAGCTCAGGTAATTCCTTGATCCGATCCAATCCCATTTCTATCACCAAGGACATTAGTACTTCCTCGTCTATGAAGTCCGTGTCTATGACACTAGGAGGCAGCATTGCAGCAGGTACATGGCTGACTGAAGGAGACATGCCAGAGTTGTGTTTTGGATTGCAGTCTCTGAAATGCTGGTTTGTTCCATTTATCTGATGATTTGCAGGATGCAAGTCCGGCATGTAATGATTGTGCTGGTACGGATGATGCGTAAAATATTGGTTGTTCAGCTTCTGAAGTTGCATGCTAGCAGTCAGCTGAGCTCCTTGATTTGTCACAGGGGGTCCCATAAACTGTGCATTGTTAAATCTCGCTGCCTGAGCCATGCCGTTATTCGGATGACCACCATTTACATTCCCAGCCACCATGGCATGCCTGATGCCATTGTTTGAGTTTAGGTTCCCTGCTCCATAGTGCAGGTGCTCACCCATTAAACTGTTAAAAGAGTGTTGCTGCGGTTGATGATGGTGAGGATTCTGAAATTGACCCATTCCCATTCGATGAGCTGGATGGTGGTGAAGACCATTTGTTCCATCTGGAAATCGGCCGTGATTCATTGCCATCATATGTTCGGCCATTGCACACCTGGGAGAAATTAAACACACATTAGACATTTATAAAAGAATGACCAAAAAAACCCAAAAACAAAGTATTTTATTGATAATTACAACAATCCATTATGATACTGTAGGTTAAGAAGCTTTCCTTTACAGATGTGCAATGGTACCATATCATTGAGATCTACTTTCCCCATTTGTGCTTGTATGAATGTGCACTCGGCTGACTATAGGCAGCATAAAGAGCGTCACCAACACCCCTTTCATTTCCTGCATTGTTTAGATAAACACACTTGAAACTGATATTTTATGGTTAAGATAACAGTTTATCATGCTGTAGCATAAAATCATTTTATCTTTGATATCCTATATGCTGCAGGAGAACACATACAAGCAGTAAGAAGTGATGCCATTTCAATGGGACATAGCTTCTTCAGAACGAGATCTTACATTAAACAGCAGCATATTCAGAAATGCACAGCATTCTTAAGAATGCATACAAAAATAAAAAAATAATAATTGCACCTTTAAATTGGGTTAAAAAGTTTTGTCATGACATTGAGCATGCTACCTTATGCCTACAAAAGGCTAGCATTAAACACTTCACATTCTTTCAACGCCTTTAATCACCAATAGGCTTGCTCAGCAGAAGTCATCATTCCCATAATGAACAAATAACACAAGGGCATAAGCCTTAATGCAGTAATCAACACTACAGAGACGCTAATATTCAACTTAGTACAGCAGGGAAGGAGGAAGGGGTGGATATTAAGCAGCCATGGGCTCATGCAACAATGAAAACAAAGCTATGCTATCATTTGCAAGACTTATCCATATGCTATAGGCTGCAGCTTAGATAATCTTACGAGTGATCCTCAGACAACATTTAGACCGTCCATTCCAAAATGAATCCTTTCTACAAAACATGTCAGCTACCATGAAAGGGGGTTTGTAACCCATAGATTGCCATCTGCCAAAATGCAGTTTTTTAATAATTGTTTGAGAGGTGATCACTGTTACAACACTTGGTGTCTACATTTAAAAATGACTACATGCACCGTAGGATATTAAAACCATTAAATACATTCAGGGTGTTGTAGGGATGCAGACACCAATTATTCTTCATTATAGCACACCGCACATAAACTGCTTACTTTTAATAAAACTTACTGATTTAACACAATACAATCCGAAAACTACTTCTAGCCAAACCATGAAAACAAAACCAAAAAAACACCCCAAATAACCCACAACACATAACCCCCCCTCAAAAATATATATAAAAATCCACACCACAAGACCCAAGACACTAAAAAAACAAAACAAAAAAAAAAAACACACCAAAAAACGGTCTATATACACTCTATGTATATGCTGAAAATAAGAACACAAAATAGAGCTGTTCCGATATCGTTGCAGAGAGAATTAAAACAAAATTATATAAAACTGACTACTTATCGAACTTCAAGTATAAAGTAAATTATTAAGCATACAATACGTTATCATTGCAGCCCTGCCATCTGTCATATCTCACAGACTCCATGAGCCACAGACAATGAACAGGGCTCATAACAAGATCATTAAATAATACACACTTACCCCTTACGATTGATCCCAAAATACTGCTTGTACAAGGATCAGGCAGTAAAAGTCAGCATATAGGAAGGTTGAGCAGCTCTCCCCTTTGTAATCTAATGGGTGACCCTGTAATGTGATCTTGCTGCAGAGAGCTAGGATCCCTCACTCTACAGCTAAAGGCATCTGTAGTTGCCAACAATGAACTGTGTTCCTTCTTCCCAGCTTAGCTTGTTAATATAGGATTGCAAAAGGGAGGAGCGATAGGGGAGAGGGAGAGAGAGAGGCAGAGGAGAAAAAAAAGCCTAGCAGGCAACCAGAAGTAAAACCTGGATTAAGGATAAACAGCCGGAGCTGGACGAGATCCAGCAATTCTGATGCTGCTGATTCTCTTTCTCCTTGTGACACGTGTGTTTGATCACTTGCAGTGTCCTCAGAGAGAATGAACAATAATGGCCACTAGGTGTCTTTATCTGCTTTGCTTTGCAGCTTGGGAGGAGGGGAAAAACACACATACACACACAGTACTCTATAAATTGATAGTGCTATTAGGCAATGGAGAATGAAAGACAAAGGTTTATTTATTTTTCACAGAGGGAAAATCAATCTGAGTGATAAATCAAACATTTAGGCATTCTGTAAACTTCATTGTGAGCTTGCAGTGGATAATATGTATCCTTCTACGTACACAGGCACATGCATGCTCTATATCTATATATATATAACGTGCAGGAACAAATAGATGCAAACATACGTATGTACGTGTGTGAGGATCATGGGTGCTGCTTTGTCACAGTGACACTCCTACAGTTTAGAATGAATCAACACATTACTGCTAGTTATAGAGAAATTACTTATTTTCCAGTGTGACAAGTGAATATCATAAACCTGCTGTTCAGAGCTGCTCTGAAGATTTCACAATGCAGGGTCATTGCTGTGACACTGTTTACTTGCCACAGTGACTGTGTTTTAAATAAAGGAAGTGAAGGTTATATCCATTCTGGATTTAAAAAAAAACAACAAAAAAAAAAAACGCCTTCTAAGAAATGTTAATATTTAACTACAGTAGCATAACAAGCTCAATTTACAACACGTGTGTATGTGCAGAGTTTATACAGCCCCTCTTTTGTGATATGGGGATTATTTAGACCAGAGCTTGACTTATTTAAACAGTGCATGTCACCTGTGAGATTCAGAACAATAGAACCATACTAAAAATATATTTTGTCTTCTTTGTTTTGCTTTTTGTTTCTAGGTTTTAATTTAATACCAACTGGTAATAAATTGTATTTTTTTTTTATTACAGCTAAAAAAAAAATGCTAAAGACCCACAAGTAAGCATTCCACACGAGTGAATATTCATGAGACATCCCAAATATTTAGCAGCCAGACTCTGTAAGAGAGTTAACATTGTGGATTCTTAGCCACAATGCATCAATCACCCCACTGGTTTTTACACCACCCATTAGTTTACCAGAAGCATACATGACACACAAAGTATCTCTTGCTGAAAAGAGCAAAACTGTCAACTTCAGGGGTCTTTGCATATTTCGCAAACAGTCAGATCTGTTGCTGGTCCAGTAGCCATGGGGTGCAGGGGAGGTGAGCTTTACTTACCTCAGGCTGTTCCTTGCAGCTGCTTCCATGTTAACTCGGCAGGTTTTCTTTGGCACTTGGCGCTTCAGCTGCCATGAGCCGCCTCGGTATGGTACTCTCGTGCATGCGCAAGAATACAACATTGAGGTCTGTCAATGATCCTGTGAGGCTGCGGGGCTCAAACTTGTCTATAAGACAACCTCAGGCTTGCCCATGAGACAAAATTACCCTGCAGTAACCCTCATGACACCCATTTGTCATCCCGCAGCACACATATTTCCTACCCAACAGTCACTTTCATGGCACTGGTATCATTTACAGGAGCCATAAGTCACCTCACTTATATTTTACGCAGCACCATAAGTACCCACATGTCACCCCAACACATACACAGGGTATAATACATACACAACACTACCAACAGACATACCTAGCTTTTTGTCTCAAAAGTGGTGTCTCTGAGCTCACTATGGATTAAACATGTCTGGCAGACACCCTATGTTTCTGCCGTACATGTTTCGGGGCCTTTCTTCATTCATTTTTATATCTCCCCGTGATGGGTAGTACACTCTTTCTTATTTGAATTATTGGACAGTTTGGTCCCTCTGTAGTGCTTAAAGGGGTGCCAACCATTATATCTTTATTCATTCATTGTGATTCCAGTTATACATGATCCAGATTCTACTCCCTTCTCCCTATGTTTCTTAATCATAGGAAGTGTACAAGGCAGTTGTGATACACTCACTAAGCAGGTTTATCATACTCAGGCCTGCTGTGATGAGTGAATGATACATTCTAGTTTATTAGACTAATTAAAATACAGTGGTTCACAAGATCATCTGTCACCAGCATAATTTCTTTTTCATTTCATACTACCTAGATACCTACTCAGGTCACTCTCAGTCCTGCCAATCTACACCAACAAGTTCACTATAATAACTGGGATTTTGTTGACAGAGTAC